CAGGGGGTTAGATCACAGAATCTTACTTGTCTTTCCAGGAAATGTGAGTTACTTTTAAAACTTTTCCATTGAATGAATGTTATGTCCCTGACTCAAAAAAAAAAAAAAAAAAAAAAAAATCCCCAGGGAATGTGGTGTCTTAGCTTGAAGCCCTTCAGACTAGCAGGAATTCTTTGACATCTATTTTCTCTTACTAGTGCATGCATGCTAAATTTCCATTCCACTTAAAATTATTTACCCTCAAATGAAAATTTTAGGATAATTTCATCCTGTGACTTTCAGTATGCCTATTAATCTGCCAGGTTATGTGGACTCCAGTTTGAGAAACGGGGGGCCTGAACTATCAAAAGGATTTTAATCAAGGGAGTATGGGATGAGATTTGTTAAGATCTGGAGATAGGGAGTCTGAATAATAATTTTATGGAGAGACTCAGAGGGACAGGATGGATGGATATTGAAGAGAGAATTTGATAGGATTTGGTATCTGATTTGCTATAAAGGGGSACTAGCTGGGAATATGGAAGGAGAATAGTTTAGAATGGCTTCCATATTCCTGGCTTAGGTAACACCCAGAAAAACTAGAAGAGAAACAGATACAGAGGGAAAGATGACTGGATTTAGACATCTATAACCTGAGGTACCTGTGGATCATGTGAGTAGAGATGCCCAACTAGAATCTGCAGCTTAGCAAAGAGGTTTGGACTAAAAGTAAAACTTAGTTTGACTTATGCACATAAAAATGGTGGTCACAGAGAAAGTGGGTTACATAAGAAGAAAAGAAGGTTGAGAAYAAGTTCCAGAGAATAGCCACATTCAAGAAGCAAGCAGAAGTATGGAAGTCCAAAAACTGCAGAGGAGGAATGTATAAAGAGGTGGAAGAACAAGGACAACGTATGCCATACAAGCCAAATAGGGAGAGAGAGACGTAAAGGAAATAGTTAGCATTGTTAAATGCAATGGAGATATTAATATAAGAATTGGGGAAAACTCATTATTTAGCCATTAGATCAACAACAGTCTTTGATATTGTTTCAGAAAAATGGTGGAAGCAGAAGCCCAACTACAGGGGCTGAAACATAGGAAGGTGGAAGAGATGGTGGTTGTTATAGGCTCTTTTTTTCAAGAGCATGCCTGTGAGTGAGCTAGTGAGAGAGTATACAGGGTCAAGAAGGATTTTTAATATGGAAGAGATACTAACTAAAACAACATTAACTAGGTCCATGACAACAGGCTTTGCCCAGGAAAATTAGCAAAAAGAACAAAGGATGGTCTACATGTGGGGTGTGGGCAAACACGATGAAGAATCAAATGGAGCACAAACTAGGAAATTAGGGTGAGAATGAGAAAAGGCCGTGTAGTAGCAGAGAGAGGAGGAAAAGGCCCAGAAAATTTTATATTTATCTAGTAAAGAAGGTTACTGTCATTAAAAAGTAAAATTTCTTGCCTATACCAAGGAGTCTCTCTTTACAAATCTCTTTCCCAGAAAAAAGAGAGATGTCAGAGTGGGAAGGTGACCACTGTCATACCTGTACCTCTTCGGTAACTTAACCACCTCTTTGATGGATCTTCACCAGAGAATGATATGAAAGCTAGAAAACAGGGCCAGGAAAATGATCTAGAAGGATGCTGATATATAAAGTTGTAGGCAACAGAGAGGGAACTTTGGAGCTCTATAAACTATAGAGCAGTTTATAGCAGTCTGAGAGACTTAGGGGTAAATTTAGGAAAATAGTGGCCTATCTAAGTATCATGGTCCTACAGTGAAGAAAACAAAAATATTCCTGGGGACCAGAGGCTTGAGAATTACTGTCAGAGCCTGATAAGCTAGAAAGATCTCTGGGATCACTCAGGCAAGAAAATTAAGTTCCAGGAATTCAKAAGCTTTTTCCATGCTGTGCCCAGGGAAGTTGCCATGTGCAAATGGTAGCTGATATCCTGAGAGTATATAACTTATCAAGAGACCACATAAAGAACCCATGATCTGCCTCAGTGATACATGGGAGCTCAAAAACAAGAAGAGAGAAAGTTTGTCCTGAGGGACATGTCAAAGTGATAAAGCATCATGGTCCTGATCGGTGGTAGAGTTTGCCTTCTGTTCTAATCAGAAAGTACTGTCTGCAAACCCCTTCCAAGTGCTAGCTATTCTTTTTTTTTTTTTGGTAACAGGATTGAACCCAGAGGTATTTAACTACTGAGCCACATCCCCAGCCCTTTTTTAATTTTTTAAGATAGGGTCTCACTAAGTTGCTGAGGCTGGCCTCGAACTTGGGATCCTCCTGCCTCAGCCTCTCAAGTCGCTGAGATTACAACAGTGCACCACCAAGCCCCGTGCCCCTATGCATTTGAGACTTTCAGGCAAAAAACACATCAAACATCCTTAAATTGGCACTGTGGACTCTCAAGGCTGAGCAAAAAAGGAAAACTCTGGTCCTGGCCAATGCTAAACTGCAATAGGCTATCCCCCCAAATCTGAGGCAGACAGAATATTCACCCTTTAGTAGTTCCTCTAGGAGCTGACCCAGGGTRGGCGTTTGGAAGGATTCAGCCTCCGTCCTGCCTGGTGCTGGGATCAGCTCACACGGCTCCTGTGTCCATGGGACACAGAGAATACATTGTCCATAAGGAGGATTATTCTGTACAAGAAACTCAGACAAAGGGAGAGTTTGTTTCCAGCTGCTTGGGGGAGGTGGAAAGGGGCCCAGCTTTGCACTGGGGCATTCCTGCAGAGTTCAGCTTCTTTTCTCCAGCAGCATGACAGGAGGTGGGCTATAACATCCCTTCCAGCTCAGGCCCAATGGTGGGACCCATTATGGAGTGGGAAGGAGTACTTGGCTACAACCTATCTTAGCCATTTCCCAAAAAAGCTCATGGCTGAGTAAGGTAAGCCAGCTAAGTAGAGAAGCAATACACACAGGGAGGGGAAGAGAACACCACAACCTGGGCAATGAAGAAAAGGAGATTCAGCAATGACCGAATCCCAGCCTCAAGGTAGAACTGGAGAGGTTCTAAGCAATGGGCATTAGGCTGACATTAATTCAATAAGCCTCCATCTTTTGTGGGATGAACTGTGCTGTGGTACTTGAGGTTTCACAGCTGGTGCTTCTTTCTCCATCCCAGAAATAACCTGGGAAACAAGGCCTAATCCCTTTCTCCCTGGGCCCCAAGGGTAGGAGAAAGTACAATCCCTGAGCAAAACAGGACAGTAAGAAACAGAGAAACTACCAGAGTAGGCCACCGGTCAGCTTTTGCAAATCTTAAATCTGAGCACGTAAGCAGATCATGTTCTCTTCTTCAAAGGAAACTTCATATACAGTCCCTCCTTAGGGACTGCTAGGAGAGATACATTCTCTCCATTCTGGGTTCTGGGTTGTATGGGCCCCCAAGTGGGAGATGTGACAGCTTTGTGTACCCAGAGGTGGAAGGTGGAAATGAAAGCATGTACCTCAGGTGGGGGGTGGGTTGGAAAAGAGAGCATGTACTCGCAGAATGACTAATACTTAGGTATGAGCACTCCAGAGTAAGAAGTAAAATCTTTTGCTTAAGGGCAAAAGATTTAGGTAAAGTTGTACATTTATTTTTGTTGGGACAGGAGGATATTTGTTCTTGGAGGACACAGAATCCACTTTAATAGCTTTATGTGAATGAAGTCAGTATCAGGCTGAGACAACAAAGAAACATAGGGTTGGTACCACTGGTGAAGTAAAGGAGAAAGTCACCCAAAGTTGCTCCAGGGGTTTTATAGAAGTATGGCTGGAGCTCTGTCTAATATCCTAGTTAGCTCTGATGTTTCCAGTGGGAAGGGAAAAGGTGAGAAGATAAACAACACGTGACTGGGTTAATGGGCCGGACTATTCAAATGGGGGAAAGGTCTGGTGTTGCCTCAGAGCTGATGACAGGACTCCCCTACTGCAGTGTATTGTGGTCACTAAGCTTTATGGACATCATTCCGCATCTTGTTGGGACAGCAACAGGTGACAACTAGGACCACTTGTCCTGGCCTCTGCTGCCACAGCCTGGCAGAGTGCAGTTTGGTACCAATCAAAGGCCAAAGTACCAGTGTGACAGAACAGGAAAGGCAGCTGGAAGGATGAGACGTAAGAAAGACTCAGGGTTTCTAGTGCAAAGCTAATTAAAGATTRATATTTTATAGAGAACAAATTTGAATTGCCTTGTAGCACTCACTAATGGAATTGTCTCTGATTCCCTATATCGGCTCTCATAAATTGCTGAGCTAGTTAATATCAATTTAAATACCTTTATTTCATAGAGAAAATCCTTTGGTCCACTTCAGCTGATTCAATCTTTACACTTGCTCACAAAGGAATACTGAGAAAGGCAGAACAGGCTGGTTGTCCAAACACACTCTGCTCTTCAACTCTATAAAGTAGGCAATGCTATTGGGCTGCCCGCTCCCACTATTGATCTGGCTCTTACCTAAACCATAGAGTTAATTTAATGGAGGAAAACCATCCTGACCAGTGTGCAGGAACAAGGCACAATTATATACAAACTAAACCCTGAAGACAGTGTGAAGGGCAATCACCTCTTCCTCCAAAATAAGAGGAAGAAGGGGATTTACATGTGCTACAGAAAAACCCTTTCTCACACAGTCTCGCCTGGCCCCTTGATATCCTCTTTCATGTGTACAAGATGGGATAAAAGATGAGGATTTTTACGTATTTCCCATATAAGAATTTAACTTGCCTTCAGAGATTGACAGGCCTAAGTTTCATTACAGCTGTAGGTAGAAGGTTTGTCCCCACCCAGAAGTCTCTTCATCTGAACCTTAGAGGGACAACAGGGTGGAACCTGAGTGGAGACACCTGAGAGCCAATATGCCTCAAAGGACATCCAGGCTGTTACTGTTTCTAGTAGCACAAAATAAGCACAGGCTTATTTGATTCTGGGTTCATCAGCTCACCACTGACAATGGAATAGCAGCATATCAGATGGGTTCTGGATCAAGAACTGTGGAGGGCAGGGTGAAGAAGTGGCTATGAAAACAACCATTTATTGAGCACCCATTACTTCATATACTGTGCTAAATGTTTTACAGTCATTTTCTCATTTTAATCCTCATAACAACCCTATGAGGTAGGTATCATCACCATTTACAAATGAGAAAACAGGTTCAGAAAACTTAGGTCTGTTGCCCAAAGTCATATAGCTAGTCACCAGTGGAGCTGGGCTCTGTCTGTTGCTGAAAGCCCATGTTCTGTTTATTGTACCCATCTAGGTGAGCCTTGAGCAAAGGTAATATGACTGCACAACTGTGCAAGATCACCTGGTACTGGAGGCTGCTGTTCACACTCACCGCTGGTAGGGATGCATTGAAGCTGATTTGATGTTGGTTTTTATTCCACTTGGCATTTTCCCTAAAAGGAATACGAAGAAAGACATCTGAAGCAAGGCAAGACTTTCACAATAAATCAGAAATGTCGTTTCTCAGGTTCCCTTCTGCCATCTCCTTTATCATTGCAGAACCCCTGTGGCATCTGACCCTGGTTGGCAGAGATCAGAGGTGTGGTTCTTCACCAGCTCCCTCCCTGAAGGTATCTAGGAGGAAAGGGGTGATTTGGGAGAATAGTGGGAGAGGTGTCCTGCTTATCTACTCCTAGAAAAGACACAAAAACCTGTGTGATCCTTGTTCAGTGTTACAGGTAAAAGAGTACTGTATTCTTGCCAGGTACAGTGGTACGTATCTGTAATCCCAGCTACTCAGGAGGCAGGAGGATTGCAAATTTCAGGCCAGCCTGAACAATTTAACAAAACCCTAGCTCAAAGAAAAAAAAAAGACAGCTGGGCATATAGCTCAGTGGTATAGTGCCCCAGGCTCAATCCCCAGTACCACAAAAAAAAAAAAAAAAAAAAAGAAAGAAAAGAAGAAAGAAAGAGAAAAAAAAAAGGCTGTTTTCTCTTGATTCTGTTGTCTTTTTTTCCTAGACAGCATGTAAGAAATAACTCTTCTTGCTGCTTGCATCTGAACTCTTCCAGACTATTCTCTTAATTACTAAAAGTGAGTACAAGAGAAGGCAGGAAGGCAAGAGAGACAGGATACAAAGAAAATAATACCAGTAGGAACAAGAAACTGCCTCCTTGTCAATTCCTGATGCATCTTCCAAATAACCTTGATTAAGTAAGGTCTGACCACTGATTTTCTTTTTTCTTTGGTACTGGGGATTAAACCCAGGGGCACTTACATACTGACCTACATCCCTAGCCCTTTTTATTTTTTATTTTGAGGGAGGGTCTCTCTAAGTTTCTTAGGGCCTCACTAAGTTGCTGTGAGGCCCTAAGCAATCCTCCTGCCTTAGCCTCCTAAATCACTGGGGTTACAGGAGAGCACTCCACAGCTAGCTGACCATTGATTTTTCTACCCACAAAGAGACACTGACCACAAACCTAATCTCCAGAGTAAATGGGACAGGACAGTTGAGAAAGAGGTATGAGATGGGGTAGAAATTGAGAGCAGTTTCTCCTACTCAAAGTTGTTCCTTACTCTCTGATGCCTGCTTCAGAGTTTCAGATGAGAATTTTTACTGCTGAAAATTGTTTTCTGAGTCACTATGCAAAGGAGAAAACTCCCAGGTCTGGGGATGCTGGGAGCCTAGATAATCCTGATCATCTCTACTCCCCTGTTCAAAGTCAATTACATTTCCACCCTTGCCACCTTACCAGGTTGACCTGCTTGAGCCATTTGCACTCCACTGAGCATTGGCTGCTGCTGGCTTGGAGCTCCTGCCATTTGTACTTGCTGTAATCCTGAGGTTCCTGCAAGGATTGTCCCAGCTCCTGGCTGGCCTGGTTGGCCAGGACCACTGCTGCCTGAAGGTCTCCAATTAGACAGACCCTTCCCAAAGGCAACAGCTGCCACCAAGGCATTGGTGTCTGCAGGGTTAAAGGTCTGCTTGTTTGGTCGGAGACCTGAAGAAAAAGGAGAACCATGAAGTATACATCTGGTCCTAGGTCTGAACCTAGCAGCTGGAGGGCCTGCAGATTGCCAGGGTTTGGAGTTCTGACTTCAGCATCATCTAGACTCTCACAGTCCAGAGGAAAAGTCAGAATACCCTCCAACCTATCCTCAAATTTTCCCTTTTCATTTTGCCATTTCTTCTACCTGCTTCAGGGCTGGCCTTAAACACAAAAGGCTAGCAGTATGGTTGCAAACCCTTTCCTAAGCAGTTCATTCTGTGTCTTCACTTTATTACCACCCAAACCACCATGGCTATTCCAGTCATCTTATTATACATGTCTCCCTCTGTCACTAATACTTCTTTACCTCCACTCTCTGATTCTCGCTCCTCTTTGCTGATTTTCTCCAGAAGGTTTGAGCACATTTTATTCAAGCTCTGTATCTGCTTCTGTAATATACAAATGGTGCAGTGATTAAAATAAATAGGAAATGACTATGGAGAATTTCTTCCAGAGACAGTTTAGTGCAATAATTGAGAATCTCTACTACATAGGAGTGGTAGTGTTTGCTTCTCATCAAGGGATGGAGATGGGATCATCAGGGCAGTGACTTAGTACAACCTGAGCTGCATCAGCACCAATGCGGGCAGCGTCTGTTGTCAGTTGTTTCTCCTGCTCTTCAACCTCAGGATCAGGCTTGGTTCTCAGATGGTCAGGGACCACCTCATGGCTGAAAACAGGTACCCGTCCTTCAGTCTGCCGCTGTAACATAGATTTTATTGATCCTACCATGTACTCCAAGAATTCAATCTAGCCTTATTTCCTTTCTATAGGCAAACAGTGCATTTTCAGGGAAAACAACTTGAAACACAATATCTAGCTTCTTAGAACACTGTCTCTTTCCCTCTACCTGTGATTTCTGTCTCCTCACATGGCTATCTATACCATACTTAAGGGCAAATTAAACCCCTCTCTTTGCCACATTTTAATCAAAGACTGGAATAGACAAAGTCACAAAAGGACTTTTTTTTGCAAGACAGATACTGGAAGAAGTCTTGGTGATATAGGCATCTGGATTTTTAATAGCACTATTTGGGAGCTTTCTCACCTCCAGGACAAAAAAGCAAGGCCTCCAAAATGCAGTCCTTCCTTCTCACTGCCACATATTAGCCCACATTTAGAACTTCTAGAATAACCAATCAAAAATTCTTAGACTTTCATCTAAGAACTTAATATCCCAAGTTGTACACTTTTTCRCTTCTTACCATGAGATCTTCATCTCGATCTGGGGACAACACCAGAGGAATAATGACCTGGTTACGGAACAGTGGTGTCTTCTCATGCTTCAAAACCTTGTTCAGAGTGTTCAACTGTCCAGATAGCAATGCAAAACTGTCCAGGACAGAGGGCCTGGTGGTGGTAAGAAAGTATCAGAATGTTCCAACCCTTCCCTGTAATGTAATAATTAAGAGGCTCAAAAGACTCATAGCCCTATGACTAGCCTAGATGAGAATCAAATTGGCTAACAGGAATGATGGGGTTAGGAAAGAAGGACACACTTTCAGTTTCTGACACAGATACAGAAAAAGGCAGTTCACTGTTTGAAAGGGGTGAGAAACACTGGCAAAATAGGAATCATAGCTATAGTATTACAACTGAAAATTCAGAAACTGGGTAAAATTCTCCTTTCCAACCTGGAAATAAGATCCACTATTCCTGAGTAGGTTGTATCTAAAAGACTAAAAGCCACATCTGTGGAAAGAGATCCAGCAAAAAGAGCCTCTTCACCAGAAAAAAAAAAAAATCAAAGTGTAAGGATCAAAAACAACCTGGCTTGGGAAACTGAGCTTTTCTCTACTTCCTTACCATGGAGGCCCTAAGCCAAACTTTACTTCAATGTTGGGCAACCCAGCTCTTTCCAAATCAAAAGATGTTTACAAACTGATAAATGGTTACATCATTAGAAATGTCCTATCCATCAGAGGCCTGGCCCCCCCACCCAGTAAGCCATCCCCAGCTTGCCCTGGAAACCCTTACCAGGTTAGCCGGTCATACTCGTTTTCCAGCTTATAAATGAAACTTCCCAGTGAGTTCTTCAGATCAGCCACTTGACTCAGCAGTGCATCTAATGATGCCTCAAGCTGCTTCTCCTCTCGCTGCAAATAGGAACAGGTTGGTTACCCAGAGAGACACAAAAGTGTGACACATACAGAATAAAGCTGAAAAGCCAAGTTGTTTTCYATCTTTGGCATCTGAGTTACAGACAGCATCAACCCTTAGACCTTTCAACCCCTTCACCTGACCTCAACTCCTCCTACTTACCAACTGATTTTCTTATTACCCCAAATCCAGGCATGGTTGTTCTCATGATTTTTTTTTTTTTTTTTTTTTTAGGTACACCCTACTGTCCCTCATTGAGAAATTTCACCAGATCCAGTGCCTGTTCATTATCTTATGGGTGCCTCTGCAGCACATGTACACCATATTCCTCTTAGAATCTGCCTTGTGCTATTCTTGTCAACAACACAATTTCTGGGACATCTGCCTATACATAAAGCTTTCTCTGAAAACCAGCTCTGCACTCTCTCGGCCCTGCCTCCTTAGCATTTGATGTTTTGACCTTCTCTTTGTTGAGTTAATGTGCACTCATTTATTTCTGCCAATATTYCCATGCCTCTTTCACAAGTCTGTTGACCCATGAGCATTTATTGAGAGACTATCAGGTGTAAGTACATGACAAATGAAAAACAAGAAAACTCGCACGTTTCTGAGAGCCAGACAAACAATTTTAAATTCTGGGAATCTGTAAAGCATTTCCTTCCCATTGTCAGACGATCTTATATTATTCCATTTCTTCACCCTTAACAACTATTGGGCACAAGTTGGTTAAGAATGACGCAAAGCAGTCTTGCAAACCCGGGAGCGTGCCCGACAGGAGCTTGACCTTGGGTTCCACCCACAGCCTGAGATTTTTATAAATAGTTTAGCTTTTGGCCTCCGCGGACAATTCCTTCAGCCCTTGGGCTTCTCTCCAATCACAGATCCCTTGTTTGTCTGCATCCAACAGCCTAGTTGGGGGCTGAGTCAGTCCACCACTTTCTTGAGCCGTCTTTCCTTAGATTGATCCTCAGCTTTCCCAAATGACAACCTGATCCTTCTCAACATTCAGGAGGTTAGCGCTGCATCCTTCCTCTCTCCTGAGCAGAGTCTGTCCTCCTGTCAGCCGCCTCAACCCCCACTGGCCTCTGCGCTCCCTTTCCATCTGGCCTCGCCCCCAATCTCCCGTTCAGTTTTTCCATAACAGCCGCAGGCTCTGCCTCCCCAGCTCCTCACACTCATCAGCCAAGCCACTCTCGGTCCTATTATCCCGGGCTAGCTATCTGCCAGGAGACCTAACTGGGTTCTCACCTGCATTGCTGCGGGGCGGCTGCAGCAACGACTTCCTCTTCCGGTTTCCCAGACAGCTAGCGCGACTGAGAGGGCTTCATCCACCAATCAGAAAGCTCAGAACTCGGCCTTCCCATCCACTTCCGGTTTTATTTTCGTGACGAGATAGACAGGTCAGGGGTCAAGAGTGGAACATCCTCCTTGGCCCGGGCCGGTGCGGGAGGGATGTGTGATGGCCTCGGAGCGCCCGGAGCCGGAGGTGAGGGGCGGGCGGGCGCAGTCTGGAGCCCCGAGACTTGAGGGGGAGGGTCCAAAGGGCAGATTTGGCTTCGCCCTCCTCCTGCGCAGCTTCGGCCGAGCCGGGTCAGCTCTGAAACCAACTCTCCGTGGTCCACAATTTCCTTGAGCGACTAGAGAATTTTTTTTTGCTTTGTTTTGTTTCCTGAAATTTCGTTTGCGTCGGTGACCCTTTGACCTAGTGATAGTGGCATTATCAAAACTTGTTTTGATTATTTGTTGCAATTTAGTGGGCAACACGACAGTAGACTGCCTTTGTCGGCTTCTGCATTTCTTAAAACGTTGAAATGCAATAAACAGCATGCGTTAATTTAGTTCTAGGGCTTATGCTTTTGGAAAAAGCAGCTTTGGTTTCATGAAAGAAATATTTGACTAGGGGTAAGACCTTATTCCAGTGTTTATTCTGCTATTTAGCTATTTCTGCAACCTCGGGCAATTCTGGGATGTGTATAATGATACAAATGGTCGTCATGACTTGCTGGATACTTAACTACTTGCCAGGCACCTTTCTAAGATCAATTTTCTCAATCCTATGAAGTAAACACCATTATCATCCCTGATGTTTCAGTTGAAGAAATTGAAGCACAGAGCTGTTAATAGTAATAAAGTTAACAGAGCTAGTGAGTTTTTTGGCTAGAACAAAAAACTGTCTGGCCCCATACTTCCTGTGTTTTGTTTTGTTTTGTTGCAGTACTGGGGATTGAACCAGGGGCACTCTATCTCTGAGCTACATTCCCAGCCCTTTATATTTTATTTTATTTCATCTTATTTTTGATCCTGAGGATTGAAAGCACAGATGCTTACTACCAAGCTACATTCCCAGCCCTTTTTATTTTTTAAATTTTGAAAGAGGGTTTCACTAAGTGGCCAAGGGTCTAAGATGCTAAGACTGACCTCAAACTTGTGATCCTCCTTCCTCAGCATCCCAAGTTGCTGGGATTACAGACATGCTCCAACCTGCCCAGCTCCCAGCCCTTATGGTTTTTTATTTTGAGACAGGAGCTTACTAATTTTTGGAGGCTGGTTTTGAACTTGTGATCCTTCTGCCTCAGCCTCCCAAGTAACTTGGATAACAGGCATGTTCTACTGTGCCCAATCAGACCTTCTGTTCTTAACCATAATGTTGACAGCATAGATAACAGAGTAGCCACAGGATGGCAAATCTCTACTTCATTGGAATTTGTTGCGATGACACCCAACATTGAAAATGATTGGTTGTAGGAAACTATGCCCTACTGAAAAGAATCAGACATGTTCACAAGGATAATAGAGTAGCCCATGCATCAAAATATCAATATTGAGAAAAACTATGAAAAGTTGGAATGTGTTTTCTTATAGGTAAAAATGAGAGGACATTAAGGGGTTTTGTTTTGTCTTTGTTTTTTTTAAATATTTTAGTTGTAGATGGACACAATATCTTCATTTTATTTATTTATTTATTTTATGTGGTGCTGAGGATCGAACCCAGTGCCTCACACATGCRAGGCAAGTAYTCAACCACTGAGCAACAACCCTAGCCCTGTTATGTCTTTGTTTTTGAACCATGGGAAAATACAACATACCTTTTAGGCAGAGAGTTAAAATAATCATGTCCCATAGAAATCTAATGTGAGTCACATATGTAATCTTTAATTTTTTAAATAGCCACTTAAGGAAGTGAAAAAAGATAGTTAATAGCCAAAAGTTAAGCATTTGTTAAATTCTTTTTTTTTTTTTTCCCCATTAGTGCTAGGATCAAACCTAGGGTCTCCCATATGCTAGTAAAGCACTAAACCATTGAACTACATTTGCAGCCTATATTTGTTAAATTCTTGATTTGCTTTCTGAAAATTTCATTTCAGAAGATAAAGTGAGCAAAGAGTTCTGCCTCTGAACATAAAAAAAGACTTGCTTTTAGAGGATACTAGTATCCCAGTAGAATAAACGTGCCTAGTCAGACTTAGGAAATCATTCATTCATCATATTCTATGGGTATTGCTGTGGACTCAGAATTTTACTAATTATCAGGTGGATACAGAGCAATGTAAGACAGATGTGCTCCCTGTCTTTTCCCCCCATATTTTATCAGTACATTATAATTACACATAATAATGAGATTCCTTGTTATGTACATGTATACAATATAATAATATAATTTGATCAATATCATTCCCAAATATTTCCCTTTTCCCTCCCCTCTTTCTTCCCTGGGTCCCTTTCCTCTACTGGTCTCCCTTCAATTTTCATGAGATTCTCACCACCATCTTTCTTTTCCTTTTTCCTCTCTGTCTTTTCCATATGARAGAAAAAGAAACTGCTCTTGATTTTCGAGTTTGGCTTATTTTACTTGACATAATTCTCTCAAGTTCCATTCATATTCCTGTAAGTGACATAGTTTCATTCTTTTTTATAGCTGAATAAAGCTCCATTGGGTGTATATACCACATTTTCCTTATTCATTGACAGACACCTAGACTAACCATTTGGCTATTGTGAATTGTGCTGTTATAAACATGGGTATGCATGTATCAATATAGTATGATGACTTTAATTCTTTAGGATAAGTACTAAGGAGTTGTGTAACTGGTAGAACCACTTATATATGGTGGTTCCATTCYTAGTCTTTTTTAAAGATATATTTTTAGATGTTGGTGGACCTTTATTTATTCATTTATTGGTAATGCAGTGATGAGAATAAAACCCAGTGCCTCACACATGCTAGGCAAGTGCTCTACCACWGAGCCACAACTTCAGCTCCCCATTCCTAGTCTTTTGAGGAACCTCCATGCTCATTTCCATAGTGATTGTATTGATCAACAATCCCATCAACAGGGTAAAAGTGTTCCTTTTTCTCCACATCCTTTCTAGCATTTATTTTTGTTTTTATTATTGATGGCTGCCCTTCTAACTGGAGTGAAATGAAATCTCAATGTAGTTTTGATTTGTATTTCCCTAATTGCTAACGATGTTGAACATTTTTTCCATTTAGTTGTTGGCTATTTATATTTCTTTTTTTTTTCTTTTTGGTACTGGGGATTGAACCCAGGAATGCTAAACAACTGAGCCACAGCCCTTTTTGTTGTTTATTTTGAGACAGAGTCTCTCTACATTGCTGAGGCTGGCCTCAAACTGGCAATCCTCTTGCCTCTGCTTCCTGAGTCACTGGGATTACAGTATGTGCCACCATGCCTGGGTTGTATTTCTTCTTTTGAGAGGTGTGTGTTAATAAATGGGAAAATAATAATAAAAGGTGTTAATAAATGGGAAAATAATTTTGCCCATTTATTAATTTTTTGGCATAAGTTTTTTGAGATTTTTATGTATTCTGTATATCAAGTCTCTGTCAAGAATAGCTAGCAAARTAGAGCTGGGCGTGGTGGTGTATGCCTGTGATCCAAGCGACTCGGGAGGCTGACGCAGGAAGATCGAAAGTTCAAAGCCAGTCTCAGCAAAAGTGAGGCACTAAGCAACTCAGTGAGACCCTGTCTCTAAAGAAAATACAAAATAGAGCTGGAGATGTGGCTCAGTGGTCAAGTGCCCCTGAGCTCAATCCTCATTACCAAAAAAAAAAAAAAAARRAWWRKTWRSMAARRWTTTTWAWTT